TGGGATTCTGTTCAATACATAAATGTACTAGTGCAACTAATCGGTCAAGACAAACCTTACGGTTGACGCTACAACCGTTCCGATGGGTTGTTCAATTCCATCTAGGTTGTGAACCAATGATTCTTGTTTCACAAGTAACTAATATAGTGATCTTCGGTATGCCCGATGACGACCCACTTATCTACATGCAAAACAACAGAACGTGGAACTTATTTAACCAAACATAATTCTCATTCATCAAGAAACAACAAGTGTAATATCCACTAAAGCAAAGCTTAAGTATATAACAACAACATGGCCAACAAAGGATTCGATACTTATGAAGATAAGTGAATTTCCTATGTGTTTCATAGTTAGTAATTCAAAGTCCTTGACCAAAGCAGGATGAATAGAGATTCATAAACGAATTACTAAACTTGAAATGCAATCATAGTTATTAAATCAATTTGGGTTTTGACAAAATCATACCCAAGATTTGATCGGAGAATTGGATGTCGAAAGGATTTTACATGTATGGACTTGTAATCGAAATAGGTTTACTCGCTATTCACTTAATACTAGATTCATGCTACTGGGCTAGATGTTCCCATGATATGTGGGTTCTTGAATTAAAGAGTTAATTCAAGAATAAGAGTTAATATGACTAGCTCAAATTACAAAGAGTTGTAAGCCCACTACTAGTATTAATTGTGAACCTAAAAGGTCACACCAATTTTTGAATGAATGTAAAATTCAAATAGTAATTCTAAAGAGTTAGAATTAATTGACAAATCTAATTTGATTAGATGTCAATTTATGGAATATATTAAATTAATCAATTGGATTGATTAATTGAATTTTGGATATTAATATAATAATTAATGAAATTACTAAATTAATAGTTGGAATTTAAAATTGGATTTTAAATTTCAAATCCAAGTAATAATATGATTATTAAATGAGGAGATGGAAGAAAAGATTAAAATAATAAAGTCTTGAAAAATGTTTTCAAGAATTATTATTTTATTATTTATCTTTAATATGATTGAAGATTAAATATTAATAAGAATAAATTAATTATAGTGGTTTGGAGTTGTTAACCAATTCACATAATTAATTTTATTTTTATTAATAGAATATTAGGTGGGTAATAGTCTTCTTCAAGACAATATTTTATGAAAATATTCTTGAAGACTTTTTATATTTTATGAAAATATTCTACCTAACATTATTATTTTATACTAAAATATTTAGTATAAATATGGATATATTTGATGTTCAATTTAGCTAAGTTTTTAGCTAAGTTTTTCAAGAGTTGAAAAGAGAGAAAAGAAGAAGTGTTCTTCAAAATATAAAACAAGAAAGAGTTCTTGTAATAATCTCCTCAAAATATATATACTATATTTATTGAATAAAAACCGAGTAGTTTCTACTAGCGAAGAAATTATTCCGGAACCGGATATCAAAAGGTGGATACGATTAGAGGGAAAATATTTGGATTTCTAAAGCAAGTAACATCAAGAAGTGAACGTTACCAAACCGGGAAATGATTTTCTCATCCATCGTCAATTTGAAGGAGTTCAAGATAAAAGGTAATATTTGATATTACTTGTAACAAATCAAAATTTATATTATTACTTGTTTTTAAAGATGACGATCTGTTAATTCGCTTTGTGTATTACTACTAGCGAATCCAACATTAGATCCCCTAGCTATTTGGTTTCTTTATTCCACTATAATATCTAGATTGTTTAGGACTCTTAATATTTATTACTTAATTAGTTCCGTAGGTAGATTAGGATTAGACATATTTTGTGCCTATATAAAAGCCCTTTCCCCATGTTATTTTTCATCAACAAATTTATCAATAGAAATCAGAACTTTTGTTTATCTTCTTGTGTTCAGAATTCTAAGAGTTTTATCACAAAATCCTTGTGTCGAAAAGGGCGTTCCACCGCATAGTTCGTCATAAGCTCGAGGTTGGCAAGGATTCACATCCGAGTTGTCTCACCTATCGCGAGAACACAAGGAGATCATCCTCCAAGTCGTCTGCACCGTCGTCGAGAAGGACTCGTTCGCGCGCAAGTTCGAGGCAACGTACATCCAGGACACGCGATCTTCATCAATGAGGTAGGCGCATGCGTGCGCCGCACGCCTGGTGACGCAATACGCGCGAGCTAGGTCGGCGCGCGCCTAGTCCTTGCGGGCTTAGGCAAGCCGAGGGCGGTTGGGTGGTGCGTGGAAGGCGGCCGAGAGCAAGGGAGAGAGAGAGTTACTTGGAGTGCACACCAAGAGATTTAGTTGCCATCTAGCTTTATGATTTCTAGCTTAATTAGGATAATTAATATTTTATTATT